AAAACTCGACATCGCGGATGTTGAAGTTCAAATCACCATTCCAACTAAAATGCAAATTACATGATTTGAACTTCAATTCACCTTCTCCACTCTAATAAGCCACTTAATAGTCAACAATGCAACCATAATCTTCCACAAAATTCCAAATGAAACCTTCAATTTGAACTTCACGTCATGCAACATATTCGAATTCGAAAAACCAAAATTTCAATTCGAAAGGAAGCGGAAGTAAAAATACACAGAAACCGAGTAACGACTAGGTACGAGTCTACAGATGGGAGGCTTGGAACCTGAGCTTTCCTCTTAAGCTTTCCTCATCTCTGATCATCGTCATGGCTGCTCGATGGCTACCGAACAACGAAGAGTTTTTCGATGGACTGGTTAGACTGTTAGAAGTATCAGAAAGTAATCTAAACTCAACATCATATGATAATTCTGAATTTTTATTTCGTCGACTTGATGCTCACGAGAGAACTTTGTCAACTCTGCTTAGTAGAATTGAATATACTTATCAAGGAATCGCCGAAGCAGTGAATGTTATTCGTGACTTACAAACCTTATTGAATCGAACATCAAACTTTAGAAGCCATTTCCAAAGACGATTTTTCCTTAGTGTTGAAAGAGAAGGGAATGAATTGACGCCATTAACTACTAACCTACAAAGAGATCAATATGGAGGTCGTGGAAGACCAAAACATCATGTATCTCGTGATCAGCTCCAGGCACTTAATGTAGATGCGGGGTTTAGTTGGAGCGAAATTGCTAGAACTTTGGGAATTTCGGAAAGGACATTGCGTAGAAGGCGCCATGAACTTGGTATGTCTGTAGAAGGAAGGGTGTTCTCCAATCTTTCTGACAATGAATTAGATGATTATGTTCGTCAAATACTCCAGTCACTGACTGGAGAACACGATCCCTCTGTACTTCTAGACTGCGTTGCTTTAATGCTCCTTGGACCATCCTCAGGCCTGCACCAGGTGTCACCGTTAGTATTTGACGAACATAATCATCTAATTCATTGTCAGAAAGATTGGAGAACACCCTTCCTTCTACAGACATACCAAGTTCATGGCGCCTTCTACGCAATGTCCTTTCCGAAATTCCCAAAGTTCTAGCAATTTCGCTCCAACTAAACCCCGCATCTACATTAAGTGCCTGGAGCTGATCACGAGATACATGATGTTTTGGTCTTCCACGACCTCCATATTGATCTCTTTGTAGGTTAGTAGTTAATGGCGTCAATTCATTCCCTTCTCTTTCAACACTAAGGAAAAATCGTCTTTGGAAATGGCTTCTAAAGTTTGATGTTCGATTCAATAAGGTTTGTAAGTCACGAATAACATTCACTGCTTCGGCGATTCCTTGATAAGTATATTCAATTCTACTAAGCAGAGTTGACAAAGTTCTCTCGTGAGCATCAAGTCGACGAAATAAAAATTCAGAATTATCATATGATGTTGAGTTTAGATTACTTTCTGATACTTCTAACAGTCTAACCAGTCCATCGAAAAACTCTTCGTTGTTCGGTAGCCATCGAGCAGCCATGACGATGATCAGAGATGAGGAAAGCTTAAGAGGAAAGCTCAGGTTCCAAGCCTCCCATCTGTAGACTCGTACCTAGTCGTTACTCGGTTCCTGTGTATTTTTACTTCCGCTTCCTTTCGAATTGAAATTTTGGTTTTTCGAATTCGAATATGTTGCATGACGTGAAGTTCAAATTGAAGGTTTCATTTGGAATTTTGTGGAAGATTATGGTTGCATTGTTGACTATTAAGTGGCTTATTAGAGTGGAGAAGGTGAATTGAAGTTCAAATCATGTAATTTGCATTTTAGTTGGAATGGTGATTTGAACTTCAACATCCGCGATGTCGAGTTTTCCCTGAAAAGTTTCAACTTGTTCAAAGTAACTTCAAGTTCGAATGATGCCATTTCGACTGCGTTCATTGCGATTTCAAATTCATATGACGAGACTTCGACATTGATAGTCTAATTTTTGAACTTCAAATTGTATTTTATTTTCAATTATTTTTGTCCGCAAATGTACGCCATATGACCTCGACGAAACGCTCTCTTTATGTAAACTACCCCCAAAGCCAATCAAGATTTTGACTATTCGTTTAGTTCGAACTTGTGAAATGGCTCAAAAAGCTTTCCTCGGGATCTGTATTTTCCAGTCTCTGTTAGGATTTTTATACTTTTGACGTAAAAAATGGAACAAAAAAGCTCCTAAAGATATTTTTAAAAGCTACACCAACTGAAAAATCCTGTGATGCATAGTGTCGCACGTTAAAATAAATTTCTTTAGCTTGCGTGGGAAGGCGTTTGAAGAGGAAAGGAAAGGGGGGGATTAATTGCAAATTTTTCACGACTACATTGTCTTCCAATTCATTGAAGAGACCCGAGCACAAAGAAAATCAAACCAAATATAGAAATAAGACCAGAAAGTCGCGGAGTCATATTACAATTTTAATACAGTCGAACCTCCATGTGCGACGACCACCTCTGGTAAGCGACCACCTCCTTTAAGCGATCGCCAATCTAAAAAATCAAAAATTTTCCCAGTAAAAGCCTTACAGTTGGAACCGCTAGTAAACGACCACCTGTAAGCGACCGCGACCACTTTTTGGGCCTGACAGTTGAGGATTTTCCATTGTTTTTAACCTCTTGTAAGCGACCATTCGACCATTCTCTGATCTCTTTTTTTTCGCTGTGTGCACTATGTCACTTAAAATATACGAAGAACTTTAGTGATAACATGGAACTACATATATCCTAACTTATACATTGCGTGCAATAAATTATCCTCTATAAAAGTAGACCTGCCTGGACCTCTTCTCGGAAGAGACCCTCGATTCTTGTAAACGACCACCTCCCGTAAGCGACCACTCAGTCTTTACATTTTGGGTGGTCGCTTACGGGAGGTTCGACTGTATATCCAACGTAGCCTACTATAACGTTATTATTAAGAGCAAACAGCACATTCTTTAAGGACGCGATAAATTCGAGAAGAGCCAGTATTCAAATCAGGGTGCTAATGATTTCTAACAATCCAGTCGAGGTAGTATGTCCATGATTAACATAATTAATTTCTAGTCAATCGTCTTTTTAATTACGCTCGGAAACTGAACGCAATAGAGGATGAAACAATAGTGTAGCTGCAGGCTTTCCCTTCCCTTCTTCCTTGCATCCTGCGACGCAGGAGGAACTTTATCGTTGACAAGCTCTTGTAGATCTTTTTTTGATAGTACAAAGGACTCCACCTTTAGGACGCATTGTTAGTTTCTCCTCGCGCTGCAGGGTTTGCCCAGCTACCAGCTCAAACTTAAATTTCCCAAAGAGTTGTGCCATCATAATGGAAGCGCTGATGCTTGAGAAATCCTTTCCAATACACGTTCTTGGTCCACAGGAAAAAGGAAAGTATACAAAGTTGGAGATCTTGTTTTCACTGTTATTTTTGCCCAAAAACCTGTCAGGATTAAAGCATTCAGGATCGCACCAGTTTTCTGGTAAGTGATGTGCAATATAGATGGAGAAATCAATAATTGCACCTTTGGGAATCTGAAATGAGCCAAATTTCTCTGGTTTTGTCGTTGTGCGCAAGGTTGCACCGGCTGGTGGGTGCTTTCGAAGACTCTCCTTGAGTGTTTGCCTAACATACTGTAGTTTTGAAATGTCATCATATTCAACAGTGTCTTTGTTTCCAAGAACATGGTCAACTTCTTGAAAAATTCTAAAAATGTGAATCACAAAAATGATCAATTATTACATTATTTTTAAACAGTCACTGTAGCCTCAGCAAATATAATTACACAGTTAATTCCAGTTAGGTTTGTGCTGACATTCTATTAATTTAGCCATCAAGTCTCTTTGGAATTCCGTCAGTCTGTTTCTGAAAGGAAAGGGGACATCAGTGACATCGTGCATGAGAAGAAAAACTGATTTGAAATAAAGCGAATTAAGAGGTGGCGTGGTGGCGTGGTCGACGGCTTAAAGCGGTGGACTTTCCTGGACTTATAATTCGGAGGCCCCGAGTTCAAGTCCCGCTCTGACCGCTAGATGGATTTGTTCTTGGCAGCTGTCCTTAGTTCAAATCCTCGGCCACTCTTGTAAATAGCCAACTGGTTTGCCTCCTACCAAGGTTGAGATCTTTAACCATGTTATGCTTCATTTGAATGATTTGTTTTGCCCCACAAGGGGAGATGGACTACGAGTAGTCCCCATTTTTCCTCAGGGATAGAAGAGCGAGCGAAACGCGAGCGCGCGTGAAAATCACCCCACGCGAGAAAGGTGAGACGCGTCTCGCCTTTCTCGCGTGGGGTGATTTTCACGTCTAAAGGGGAGACGATAATTACAGTATTATTATTATTATTATTAGAATATTATAGGACAAAAACATGGGATTGCATAAGCTACTTACTCAAACGAAGGGCACGCTTTTGCAACAAAAATATTTATTTAATGTGAGTCTTATCAGTCTTAGTCACTTAGCCCGTGGAAACTATACCATATGACAAACAGGGGGAAAGGAAAGTTGTATGACGTTGTGACAACTTTTTTAATTATTTGTTTTTTCCACGTCAAGTTGTTGTCAATGGGTACCGCCAGGTATGCTACATAGTTTTGCGTTCCAGCGGAATGAATTTATAAGAAGAATAAATTGTCGACAGGTTTTAGATTTACTTTGTAGTTAGGCCTTTTTTTGGTAAGGGTAAAAAATACTAAAGTTACATTTTTCGACGAAATTATTTGCAATTAACCACGTATATACGATTAGAAATCCACAATTCACGATAGATATCAAGCCATTTCGGTTGGCAATTATTACAAAGAGGTTGGTATCAAGCTCAGTTTAACACAACAATTTTGGCTATCATTCACATAAACGGGTAACTAAAGGAATGGTCCTTGCACCGACCCCTGAGGAAATCGCCGGTACTGTTACCGACTTTTCTAATTTGCCATCCCAACATGAGTTGTCTGGGTATGGCCCGCAGATACAATAAAAACCACTGATTTACAGCGCCGCTAAAACCGTGGTGCCTCAATTCTTCTTATAATATAGAGTGATTGTAAATTGTAAATATCACATTATCCATTCCCCTCGAGGCTTTTCAAGGATAATTTAGAACACTGGTTGTTTTAATTCATGAATGCCCCCTGATTTGAGAGAAACCACAACACCGGGAACTACATCTCATACTCTTTACGAAAGTCTAACCGGTTGCAAATTACATTACGAAGGCAATAAATTCTCCTCAGTACTTAAGGGCCCTAAATGTTGGTCCGGCGGGGGTTTCAACCCGAGGCCTCTCGCTCGGCAGATCAGCGCTAATCCAGCTGAACTGACCGGGCGGTGAACCGACCATATCGAATAACTTTAGTAGATCTGTAGTGAGTGGAGTGGAGTGCTTATCATGAAAGCCATACTGTGATATAATACGCCTTGCTTATCCAAATATCTGTTCAGATGGTTATAGAAAACAAAGAAGAGATATTGGCCTGTAATTGAGGGGGATGGTCTCGTTTCCGTTGAAGTAGTTAGCATTTTAGAAGGATGGATGCCGGTTTCGACTGATTTAGTTCATTATGACGGACAGAGGATAACTTCTATTAGTAAAATCCAGCTAGTGGTCTATTATCATTGCTGCGTTCTGATTGGTTGAGCTACTACTAGGCTATATGTTATAGCCCACTAGTAGCGAAAAGCGCGGGCTTTTTGGCGGCAAAAAAGGATTAAAGTCTAGCTTTAACTAGCTAAAATTTCTTTATTCTCGATATTTTTGACCAACTAGTTGGATTTTACTAAAACAATTATTCCTCTCGCCCTCATGGCCTCTGAGTTGACAGCCCATTGGGCCTTCGGCCTCTTGGGCTATTGACTCAGACCCCTTTCGGGCTCGAGGAATAATTGTTAAATAACTATGTCCCAAAAGTTTTTCCCTCTCATTTCATGCGCTATAACTTTTGATCGAAACTTTATTTTTACATTCAATTTCTAACAGATATTAATTCCTCTATTAAATACACGCGTTCAGCATCTCAGTCTAGCATGTCCCTTTTATTTGTTTTTTTTTGTTTTTGTTTTAAATCACTTTCTGTAGCCGTTGCGGCAAAGGCTGGAATAAATCATGTAGCGTGTAAAGCGCCAGATTATCCATTTTGAGCTTGGTATGCAGGGGTCACTTCGAACCTCAAACAATATAATCAAAAATATAATCATCCCGGTCTTTTTCCACAGAAATGCTTGTGTACTTCGTTACAAATTTGAGACGAGCTGAACGTTGTTTGGCGGACTGAAAAGAGGTTTTTTCGCTATATCAGAGGCCTCCAGCCTTCGCATTTGATGAACCTGCTCCAGACTAAGTTAGCTAAAAGTTATGAAAGCTATCTCGTCGAATTTTCTCTTTTCGGTACCGGCCTTGCCTTCTTTAAAACCATTTTAGACGCTTCACTCAGGACTCTCCGGCGATCATCCTCTTCTTTTCTTATCTTCAAAACCTTCATTTCTCTATTACCATCTTACAACCATCACTCGAATTTTCAAGTTTTTTGGCAATTTTTGACAAGCCAATAGATCGACGTATGCGTGCTTATGCTGTCAGCTAGCGGAGCGTTTTTGTGTTGAGAGGGTTTATCTTTCATTTTAAGGCCATCTCCTTTTTTTTCGTTTAGCGTCGAATGCGTTTCCTGATATTGGGTCGGTCGGTCGGATTGAAAAAAAAAAAACTAAAAGAAATCACAAGAAGTCTAGGAATAGGAGGCCCTGGTACCCTAGGACGACGTTAAAAGTTAACATTCACATTTTTGGATTACCAAAATACACAATATACTGTAAAAAATTTTCCTGTTTTTGTTTCTGTTTTTCTCTATGCTGTTACTACAAATACTCATTTTTCAGTTTAAACAATTTTTTCAACTGAAAAATGGTTTAACTACGTCGTCATTTCTTCTTTTTTTGAAAATGGCAAAAAGTTGGGTCGGTCGCACGACGGTAAACGGAGAAAAAAAAAAGAGGATGGGCTAATTACAAAAAAAAAAAACAAGAAAAAGAGTTCGATAAATTCGGGCTAAAAATGCAAAACAGGTGGCGGGAAAATATACACGCACGCGCACAACTTTGGCGCGAAAATACACAAATCGAATAATTCGAGTCAAAAGATGGCAGAACAAGTATGAAATATTTAATTAGATTTAAATACAATTTTTGTTAACACGATTTACTTATCAAGTCCAGTCATACTGTATTGCAAACTTCAGCTGAGACTTATAAAGTAGAAGAACTAACTTTTGGGACACCCTGTAGTCGTAAGATGCGAATCCGGCACTCACAACTTTCGGACAGGTTTCATGTTATTCAGAACCAATCAAAATCCGAGTAGTTAATGAAGGCAGATCGAGTCACAGTAGACGGTTTGAATGGGTTTAGTGTTTAGTGTTATTTGCCCCAAATTTTTAGTGTTTGCTGTTTAAAATTGGCCAATTTCTTAATGTTTACAGTTTCCGAAGAAAATACTGTTAAATGTTTGGAGGGGTCTTCGGACATCTTCGGCAATGGTCGGACCTCTTCATTAGTCTTCGGAAATCTTCGACAGTCTTCGGGAATCGTCGGTAGCCTTCGGAAATCTTCTGAAATAACCCGGAATTGTCGTAAAATGGCCGAAAACTAAACAAAATAATATTAGCCTTTTTGGAGCCGTTTTTGCTTCTTTCTGGAAAAAATTTAATGTTTCAAAAAATTTTCTACTGTTAGTGTTAAAATGCCTAAAATTTAACTGTTTCATGTTACAAAGCCAAAAAATGAAATGTTTAGTGTTATCGAGGAACCTCCATTCAGACTCTCATAGTATATTGGAAGGGTTTGATTTCTGACTTCTTGCGGGCTCTGTCTCTGATTAGTTCCTGAAATTACCCATTAAACTCTTAAGTTCACAGAATTTTGTAGAAAATGTATAAAAAGATGTGAAAAACAGTAGACTGTAACTCGGAGTCGAAGTCGGAGTCGTAATCAGAAGCGTAGAACTTTAAGGTCTAGTGAAAACAGCGTTCTGATTCTTCTGATTCCGCTTACGACTCCATCGTTTAAGATCAACTGAAATATAAAACTGGGTCGTCGAATTTGCAAGCAGAAGCTTAAGGAGCTACACTGGTTACCTGTGGAGCAGCGTATTACCTTTAAAGTATTACTGTTAACTTTTAAAGCTCTCAATAACCTGGCGCCTCCGTATTTAAGTCAACTTATAGTCTTATATAACCCTACAAGAAATCTTAGGTCAGCTAGCAAACATTTATTAGAAGTACCGAGTGTGCGCCTGAAGAGCTATGGAGACAGGGCCTTTTCGGTCGCTGCCCCAAAGCACTGGAATGATATTCCCTTAGACATTAAATTAAGTGGATCAGTTGATGTTTTTAAATCTAGATTGAAAACTTATCTTTTTAGACTCGCTTTCAGTTGACTTTTTGTTTTGGTGCTATTGTTAGTTATTTTCTTTTTTGATTCTAAAGCGATATAGAGCTTTTGTATATACCGCTATACAAATAAAGTTATTATTATTATTATTAATCACAAAGCGAAGAAACGTGCTTTGTGATTGGTTTATCCCTCCGCTTCTGCTTCCGACTTTCATTAGATAATAAGCGAAACGTAAGCGACGGAGTCCTAAGCGGAGTCTGACGAAAAAGAAAACGTTCTGATTCTTCTGACTCCCATTCAGTCGCGCTTATGAATCCACTTACGACTCCGATTTTTTATTTTCACTAGGTCATAAGCGCTCTTACGACTCCACTTATGACTCCGACTCCGTCGCTAGTGAAATCCATTCTTAAAACAACAATGTGACTTGATGAGTACCTGTTTTCAATTCTTCCATTTAAAAGGATTTCTAGCAACGCAAAGCTGAGTTGATTGGCTGTTGTGTCCTGACCTGTAAATAATAAAATATTCAAACCATATTAACACTTAATTTACATGTTTTTTCTCAAGTTATTGAACAATACCCCTAGTCTTGCCACAAGTCGACTGCGCGAGCGAATGCGAGACACCTAACCAGCAGAAACCGAAAAACTAAAGGTCTTTGAGAAAGCCTACAATAACCCGAACGTCTTCTCAAATACAAACTCATGCACTCAACTCCATCCTAGGAGACCCAGGGGCAGTCAGGCGAGAATGACTCAACTCGTGCACGTTTCTAATCATACCGCCGCCCGGATAGCTCAGTTGGGAGAGCGCCGGTCTGCTGAGCGGGGGGTCGCGGGTTCAAACCCCGGCCGGACCAACACTCAGGGTCTTTCAATAACTGAGGAGAAAGTGCTGCCTTTGTAATAACATCTGCAAACGGTTAGACTTTCTAGTCTTCTCGGATAAGGACGATAAACCTTAGGCCCCGTCTCACAAGCCTTTGCACATGTATTAAATCTGTGGGACCTAAAAGAACGCACACACTCTTTGTAAAGAGTAGGGCACGTAGTGCCCGGTGCGGTGTCGTGGTCTATCTCACTTTCACACTAATGTATGGGGGCATCATTGCTCATTCCTTCATTACTTAATTGTAAACTGCACCTTAAACAGTCTGGCAAAGTCCCCCAACCAGTGTTGTAAATTATCCTTGAAAAGCCCTGAGGGGAGTGGATAATAAGATATTTACAATTTACTCTCTTCCTTGGCTGCATTTATTTTGAATGCATTCGTTAAGAATTCATATATGCATTCATGGTTGCATATTTGTTGGTGTTTATTTATTTATTAATTTATTTATTTGTAAGGACCCCCCCCCCACCCCCCACAAGAATCTTCATCTTTGAGGGAGGGAGTTTACTGCGGGAACCATTAATTCCCAATCAGATTTCGTAGTATATTTACCTGCTACAAAAAAAGTAATAAATTCATCCACAAGATCCTCCATGCTAACATCACGGTCCAACTGACTTGCTTGTAAAATCATCCCCATAATATCATTAGCATGTGGCTGACAACTCTCCATGGCTTCTTTGCGTCGTTCTATACTTTCTCTAGCAAGATTTCTTAAAAAAGATAGTGACTTTTGGACGTTCTTTTGATATGAATGTTTATAAAATGGAAGGGATAGAAATGGATCTAAGTAACTTTCTTCGTAACCTTCCAGGCACTTATAAAGACAATTTGGAACGCTACTGTTATCTTCTAAGCACTTGAGTTCCAAATTAAATGCAACCTACAAATTAAATCAAGAAAAAAAAAAGTTTAAACGCTTGTTGAACATAACTTAATTGTAAAGTTCGAGTTGACACTGCAGTTGAAACTTTAGATACAAAACAGTTGTTGACTTCTGAACTAGTCAAATGCACAGATTATTTATGATTTAGTGTAATTCTCAAAATTAGCATTCATTTTTGAATATGGCTGAAATGGAAAAATGGCCCTCTTGTATATTTGAACGTGTACTATGAGTATTAACTTCCTTTTACCCGCTTAGTTCAGCAAGCTAGTAACCTAGTTTCTTGGCCTTTGCTTAAGGAAGGAATCGGTCAACCGGCAAGAGTTTCATGAGAGTTTGCCATAAGATTTTTCTATGTTTAGTCTCTAGAACCCTCATTGTACAGTATAAGAATCTCCACACAAGAGACTTTATGTGAAGAATCTTAGAAATTCATTGGTTTCCTGGTATTTAAAAAAATTGGCTTTAATTATTTTGAGAATGGTGTGGAGTTTGACTTTCAACATTCTTAATCGCTTTACATTCCTCGTCATCTTTTCGCCCCATGTAAGGGAATCCAAGACAGTCTTGGATTCTGGATTTCACACCGTGGATTCCGGATTCCAGTATTTGTCACTAGAACTTGGATTCTGGATTCCAGTCGTTAGTGGGATTCTGGATTCTTTGAGCTGCATTCCGGATTCCAAAGACCAGGATTCCGGATTCCACAAGCAAAAGTTTCTCGGATTCTGGATTCTACAAGCAAAAATCTCACAGATTCCGGAATCCGGATTCCCTTACACGGGGCGAATCTTTGATCTACCATTTTAGCTTAGATAGCTTATCAGGTGCCAAAGATTCATAACCCTATTCATTCCGATCTTCCACTATTCCACGTTTTAGGGTTACCCTTCTTTGTAGGATTATAGTTGAACCTCCAAGCGGCCAGTAATCAAAGTCCCGAAATAACTGAAAGTTTATTAAACTTCTGTCAAGCGGCGTGTTTGTTTCTGCGCGGTAGGTTTTTAACAAATTTCCTCCACGATGTTTTCTTTTGTGAGTGTAAATTTCGAGTCCCGAAGAGAACCATTTTATTTATCCAAAGAGAGAATTGTGGTTCTGAAAAAGTGTGTCATTTCTTACTACTGTTTTTCAGAAATTGGAAACTGACTGATAGGGTTCAAAGAATTAGATGGAAACTGGAGTTCTGCTCTTGAGTTTGGAATGAAATAAGAATCAGTTTTGGTTCCCAGGCTGAAGTACCGTTACGTAATTACCTAAGTAATGAATTTGGTCAGCGCCATTACAAAGCGGAATTCGTTTGACACCACTCCCCAGCAATGCACAATTACTAGTAAGTCTTCTTTCAAAGCTGTATATCAGGTGCAATATGGCCCCTATTACGCTGTCAAGCAAAATTTGCTTCAGTCACTTAATTTGTTAATTTGACCCCTTATACCCGCAAATATCATTACCTGACAAATCTGTTTGAAAGTTAACATGATCTTTACAGTCGAATGAACAACTTAAGCGGTTGAAAAAGAACCTGAAAAAATTCAGGCTTGTCCGGGAATGAAACCCTGACCTATGCGTAACCGCTTATAGGTTTTTCTTTCTACTGTGAAGTCTGTGAAGATCCTGCTCACTTTCAAGTCTTTATCCGCACAGCAGTTCAAAATATGACTCATTTTATATCAATTCAAATCTAAGTCTTTTACTCACTTTTCCAATGACATCTAAAGTAGCTTTTTGAAATTCATCAGCCATGTCAACAACAGTCTTTCCATCAGCAATGTCCATTAATTTGGTAACCAAGCAACTGGCTACAGAGTTAAATTGGGGAACCAGACCTTTCAAGTAGCCCCGATGAAATGCTGGGCTTAACAAACGTTTTTGGTGTCTCCATTTATCGTGGTCAAGTTGAGTAAATAAACCAGAACCTGTAAATCTATACCTCCCAAACAAATATGCTATACTAATGTACACTGAAGGTGCCTTTGGAAGATTCAAGGTCACAATGCCATGTTTTATGAATTCAGGACTGGATATTACCACAAGTGGTGAAAAAAAGTACCACCAAACAAACACTGGCCCATACGTGAGAGCATGGTCAAGCAGTATTTCACAAACCAGTCGCCCCTTGTTATCTGTAAGCTCTGAAGCATTGCCATAGAAGAAACTTGTCCGTTTAGGTCCTGGAATGTGGTTGTAATGCCGATGTCGATTCCACAAAAGAAGCACACAAATCGAGGCAGCAAAGAGTAACACAACCGAGAAAATAGCCAGGATGGTTGCCAAGAGGTACATTAAATTTAAAAATATTGACATCATGATATAAATGTGGATAACTGAAGGTATGTATATGTCAAACTGCAAGAAAGGCCCTCTGCGTCAAGGTGTTCTATTGTCCGCTCTCAGATTCTAGTGTTTAATGCTGCAGAGCAAGAGAAAAAAACATTTTCACCATTAATAAAATACAGTGTTGACAAGACGTATTTCGTGGAAATGCATTTTGTGGGATTCACAAAATACCGGATTCTTCTTACGGCACCGTTTGGCGCTCGTGAGTTGGAATTTTGAGATCCTAACATGTATTCTACAAATCGTTTGACAACTGATTGGTTCAATGTCGTATCGAAATCAAGGATACTTCGACAGAGTGGAGTTGTGTTATTTCAAAAGACGCGCTTCTTCGCTTTGGTTCAGTGATAAATCACGCTTGTCCAAATATTAAACGTTTGCATGCACGTTCAAATTCATACAACTCCTGCTTTTTATATCTTGGATTTTGTTTCAAATACCTTATCTAGTAATTTACCCAGACTGAATTTATCTTCTGGTTATTAATCAGGTATTCTTTTAACTGCTGTGTGGTTGTTTTTTGTTGCCGTGTTGTCTTTCTAAATAGACAACGTCGGTTTTTCAGTCATAGAACTCGGGGTATGGAGACTGAATTCTGGTTTTTGGCGCCAACAAATGAACATACTCGGCTGAGTTGATTCACTCGACATTTTTATGACAGCCAGTTAGTACGTCTATTTTCTGGTAACCACTAATTCACATCCTTATTTTCATGAAAGAATAAGAAAACAACCAGTAGCCGATTGCTGAAACAACGGATGTTTATCACATGTCCTTTTTCGGTTTGCTACGCACCGACTATCGTGGATCTGTACCTTCAACGAACTTTAACGCAATGTACAAAAAAAGAGTGAGAATCAGATTTAAGATTTATGACCAACGCTGGTAGCAGGGTCTATCTCGGATTAGGAGGGGGTTACTCCGTGCCGTTTTCCCGCTCTCGGACCCCCCAGATTCCGTTGCAATTGCTTTTAACCTCCTTGGCTACGGTTTCCTGATTAGGGCTTTCCACAAGTTGCTCGGTAACTTTTTGGCAGCTTGTCGTATTTCGGGCAACGTTTTTCGCGAGCCTGTCCTAAACAGGGCATATAATTTTGTGCGAGTCTGCCCTAATTATAAACAGGATAAAATTTGCTTGTACTCCAAATATACAAAAGCAAGTACAGTACTATAACGTCTATATAATAACGTGAATTTGCTTAACAGGATAATAAAATTGAGAGTATTGTCCTAAACAGGGTATGTAGTTTATGATTTTTTGTCCTAAACAGGACTCTCAGCGCCTCCCCCAGGAAAAAGAAGTTCTATGCAAACACCATACCATTTAAACATGACAGTCTCGTGTAAAAGAAAAGGACGGTCAAAAGTGTGGTTAATCAGAAATAGCCCTTTTCAAACATACCATAATAGTCTTTGTTGTCCCTCCAAAATTTTGCATAAGCATTCTTACAGTTGCCCCAAGAGAAATAGCCTGCGAAAACATCCGTTTCTCCTCGCTCGTCCCCAGCGGCGAAGAGCGAGGAGAAACGGATGTTTTCGCAGGCTACAAGAGAAATTGAAAGCAATGCTTATGCAAAATTTTGGAGGGACAACAAAGAGTATTATGGTATGTTTGAAAATGGCCTATTAAGTTATTTCAACGGTGGATAATAGAGTCTGACAAATTATGCCTTAATAATTTTGGGCACAAGAGTATGTCTGGAGCGTCAGGCATGCCTCTTAATGCTACTGTTATTTTTTTTATAATTTAGCAGAATCAGATGTGTTGTTATGCAGTTTTCACAATACAGGGCCTAGGATTAAAATTTGGTTCCACTTTTTGTAATTTACCTTCGTGTGTATTGCTTAGAGTAACATTTTGTGTTATCATAACTGTATCTCAGAGTAAAGCCTCAACAATATTCTGTTACCTTGAGTTACATGTTCGTAGACAAGAAAACCGTGGCTTAATCTTGGGTTAAACTTAACCATCTTTCGAGGAACCGGGCCTGATCAAATTGCTCTCAACACGAAAACAATGTGTTTTAGGAAAACAATTTTAGCAGAAATAGAGAGAGCTCATAAAAATTAACTAGTGAATTTTAATTTTCAGGCTTACATGTCTTACATCTTAAAAGAAGCGACAGCTACTGCCGCCGAAAAACCAGAAGGATTTGTATGGGACGAACAGCTCTTGCCACTCAGTCACGGTTCAGTGGTCTTCCATACAAATCCTTGTATATTTTGAAACGTTTAAACCGTCGTTAAATCTCTCCCTGACCCATTACACGTTTCAAATTTCCTGTCTTTATTAGTGCGTTTCTATTTTTCTAGTATTCTCTATAATAGAGAGCCCTTCTCTTTAAAAAAAAAAGGTTTGATAATACAAATTTTAACTGAGTAACAAGGTTTATGTCATCTCCATAACTGACCTCCTCCTCGTGACCTCTTCAAAACCTGCACAAAATCGCTCCATTGATGAGAACTGGCATGAAAAATAACGTTGTCGCCAATATAAAAATTAATGAGAATTAATTATGAAAATTATGTAACTGTAAGTCCAGTTTTTTAAATCTTTTATGGTCACGTGACTAACAAATGCAAAAGCAAAGCCTTTCGGATTTCAATGTGCTCAGGGGACAACAATTTGACTTTTGAGGGGGGTATGGGTGATTTCAGAACTGAAAGACTGATTTCCGGGGAAAATAATTCTTGCCATAAAATACCTGGTAAGAAAATTCCTGCCCTGAAAAAAATATATTTCATGGCGTATTGTGCTGGAAAAAAATTCTTACACCGTTGTATGTCAGGAAAAAATTCTATCACCAGAGGTTTGTGAAAATTAAAATTCTCACTTAAACCAAATCACCTATACCACTCCTCAAAAATCAAATGGTCGGCCCGTTAATTAATACAGAAGATTTTGTATGCTACTGTTAAACTAATTTTCCTACCCAAGGCGCTAGCTAGAATGTTCAAAGTTTATGAAATCGTGGACATTAAGGAATTGAATTTCTTGACGACCCTTAAAGACTCGAGAATTTTGGCATAGTCGTAGACCTTGTGACCTTAAGCCAAGCTTCCAAAGCAATTAGATGATTTTCTCTCAAACGCTATATGCAATGTGCCAAGTTAAATCCAGCGGATAATTAGGAGCGTGATACCAGAGTTCATGGATGACGCCGAAAAGCATAATACTAGACCGTCAGACCGGCGGATTAAGAAGTGCAACGCACGAGGTTCTGCCATTGAACAAAGCTATGAGAAAAAAGGGCAGGTGACTGGGACATAACCGAAAAAACAGATACTGTAACAAAGGGTGATACAAAAGGTAAGAACTTCTAGGACTTGCCTGACAAAAATCTCTCCGCACAGATGTAATCGCCGGAATGGAAAAGCAAGAGGGAGTGAAAGGGGGAAAGGCGTGTGGTTTTATATGGCACTCTTTTAGGACTATGATAGTGATTGGCTCTCTGAAGGGGATAAATTGTCACGAGTCGCATGATTCACTATGCGATGAGTGTATAGTATCGACATAAGTGACATTAAGCCTTGGCATAGTGTTTGATTTCAAAACAATGTCCACATTTCAAAATGATATTTCTAGTTTGGAAGTAGAGTTTGAAAGTTCCGGTCTCTGACTTGATCTCTCACTCACTAAACGATTTTATAAAGGCCTGTACTGTAAATGACAGATCTAGGTTTTTCTTAGTTACGCGCAATGCGAGAAGTGCGTGGGCCATAAATCCGACTGAATAATGTCGAGTAATACGGGCAACGTTTTTGTTCAAATAACTTGTTGCGTAACCGTTGTTGCATAGGTTTAATTACAGTTATGTTGCCCAGTATCCGGCCACTTAAAACCAAAACTCAATTTTTGAGGCGCCCTTTTCAGTTCTCGGTAAACAAAATATTTCGGATGAAAGCTGAACATTTCAGCTTTAAGATGAAAGTTTTGGCGAGTTTACAGCTTGCGAAACAGGTGCAGAAGGCGCCGTTCTGTCCAGGTGAGTAAACGTTTCATGGGTAATATTTACGCTGTTTACTGCACAGCAAAACTAGTACTGTTCACAAATGGGTTGGTAATATGTGATATTTTCAAAGAAACTGTTTTATATTTAAAGTGAAGATACTTACAGAAGTCAGGTTCTCAGAAAATTTATTAATTCTTCTTCAAATTAAATTTGCTTGGAATAAGGGAGGCCAGAAACATTCACGAACTATTGATGTCAGGTGCCCAGTATCCGGCCCGTTTTTTCTTTGCCGTACAAAATCGATGAATTAGCTGTGTACATAATCCGGATAGGATTTATTTCATATCTATAACTATCATTAAAGCTTAGGACATATCATACAATCGTAAAATGTAATTCTACTCAAATCCTTCTGGAAATTTTTTTCACTCATTCGATCAGAGGCGACTTGATTTCGTGGGCACGGCTTGTTTCGCGTGACTGCATTGTTACTGGGCTGCCTGTGGCACAGCCCAGTTATAAAATGGGCTTGGTTTTTCCTTCTGGCACAAATCGCACTCCGGCGTGTTCAGCGTGAGCGCAAAAGTATGCGTAGAATAGATCAGTGGGCTTCAGCAGAGTACATTCCGAGGAGCTCGAAGCGACTCAAAGCTATTAGCAATCCATCTTCGGTGGAAGTGTACGAATGCAAACATACGAATGTAAACGCTGTTGATGGTTAGCCCACAGTAAAAGATGGCAAGAGTACATTTTGGAAGTGGTATAGTTCAGATCCATTCACAAGTGAACTCTTCCGAGTGAATCTTTTATCGAGAAACCTTGTATGGTAAGTGGGCCACCTAATGAGTTAGAAGCGCTCAAAGAATCACTAGAACTAACTGTTAAAACTCAAACTGTTCGGTACGTAAAAATTACGAGTAATTGGATCAGTGAAATTCAACAGTGTTTTTGATCAACACAACAGCCTTATGGAAGAATTCAGTACTTCAATAGCCAGCTTTTGGGTAACAATATCCT